AACTAGGATAAATTAATTATTGAAATTTACGGCTAATTATTAATTAAAGTCGCGTACCTAACGAATTTTCAAATTCGATTTTATCGAAAATGGCACCCCGTATGAAAAAACTCTATTCCTTATTCTCGACTAGATTTTATGTGAGGAATCATCCCCTTGCCAGTTGTACCACAATTTCGCAAAAACCCTGTATGTTGTTGACTAGAGCAAGACATTATACCTTCCAAATTGGACGTTGCATGGGAACGGTGCATAATCGGGTACTCGGGGTTGATCTCTTCCGCCACTGTACCGGATCATCGGGTATGCGATTCCATTTTTGTCAAAATGCTCCTATAAAATAATTCTTTTTACATTTAAGTATTCACACTTTCACCAGGACAAACGATTAATGAAAGGGAATTCCAGGAAGGTGAGATCAGTTGTTTAAAAAACGTACCGCCACCACCACCCACGTTCAGACAAAATTTCGCTTCAGAATCTTTTGAAATGTTGCATTTGTATTGATAAAACAGAGGTGACCATCGACAATCGATAAAATCTGTTGTGATGAGATACAATATCGATTTATTGGGAGTACAAATTAGTTCGGTCCATTTTCAAAACATGGCGCTGGCTGTTGTGAATGTTTCATTGTGACGGCTGATTGTGACGACGGAAAACTCTATTTTTGACACTCCGGGCGCGAAATTCGGTTTCTCGTGCATGTTTAGCGGGCGCAAAATAGCACATTCCCGCCCTATGGCGGAAAAGACGGAAAATGATATAATTACAACTTCGATGGCTTTTGTTATCGATTAATTTCTCGCCCGGCGTGTCAAAAAATAGTATGTGCACCAGGGCGCAAAGGGCATTCTGTCACTCGTGTGAATTTGTCGCCCTCGCTTCGCTTGGGCGAAATTCACACTCGTGCCGGTGCTAGAATGCCCTATTTTGCGCCCTAGGTACACAATGTACTATTTTTAATCGCATTGTATGATTCATACACGGCATTGATAAAATTACTGAAGTAAAAGTAATTGCATATGATAGTTCATATAGGATTCAGGGTGTATAATAAAATAACAGAAAAGAGAGATGGTAAAATTCAATGTGAACGTTCAGAATTCCATTGCGCGATAACTCGAGGTATAGATTTAATCTGGGCGTGAAAGAAGATTGGAATGCGCGCGAGAATTTCGTTAGATAGAAGGAATAACGAGACCGAGCCGAGATCGCGAGGTGTCTTAAAGGTAAACGGGCTGTTACATTAGGCTATGACTGTGACCCACTTTTGGGTCGGGCAAGTAGCTCATACATCGAAACGTAACGGTACCGAGATGCTTCGCCTTGGCTGACATCAATTCGTTCCTCGATAACGCCCGCTACATTACGTACTACCACCACAATTAGCATGCATCATTGCCGTCCAATCGATTCAAGATCATCCAATACCCGTTCACCGTGTTACAAACTTCACGTAACATTATTTTCCTAATTTATAAGAGTTAATAGTGAAAATAACATNACTCTATTTCCTGCCCTACAGCCGTAAAATAGAGATATATACACACTGATTCTAATTTGTTTTTATATACATATAGGGCAGGAAAACTTTACTTTCGGTCCACTTTATAGGCGTCGAAAATGGCCTTTTTTAGTCACGTGTTATAAAAAAAATATTTGGAAACGCTCAAGATATTTTACCGCACCCGCCATATTGTTCGAACATTGCTCCTTCTGATTACTGGTTGTTCCGACGAATGCAACACAATTTAGCAGGTCACCAGTTCACTTCTTTCGCAGAAATCGAAAATTGGCTCCTAACTTGGATCGCCTTAAAAAACCAGACATTTTCTCAAGATGGAATTCGAAAATTGCCTGAGAGATGGGAAAAAGTAGTAGCCAGTGATGAACAATACATAAATCTGTTCATTCATTCTGTTCTGAAATAAATACATTTTTGACCAGAAAAAAAAACGAACCGAACTAATTTGTACTGCCAATAGTTCAAAAATTATTTCTGGCAACTGACTCCGGATAAGGAAACGGTAAGAGGCTTCAATGGTTCACGGCGCGCAGGAACCAATGAAAATAAAGGTACCGGGCTTTCTCCGATTGCTCGGCATGCAAAAAGCGCCTCCATTCGATTTTACATAGTCGTTCTTCCGGTTCGACTATAAGATGCAGCTAACAACATGCGTGCTGGTACGTCAACACAGGTCACGTAGCGTTGTGCCGCGTTATCAGGGGCACCGATCGTGTCCGCAATGTTTAATCAGATCAGAATAATTGATATCTTGACAAATAAACGGATTAAAAGACGATAATTGTTGAATCAGCAAAGTATCAAAATATTGATCGAAAGGTGAAATTATGAAGTAATCAAGTGACTCCATTAACCCTTTGACATAGAAATAAAGCAGAATTTGATGCGTGCGAAAAATACTATTTAAATTCCATTACTAATTAATACTAATTCGTAGTCCCGAGAGTCTAGGACCGTTTCGCGCAGGTTGGAAGATAGTGGGGGTTGCAGCGAACTCCCTCCACAGGTTCAGTATACTTGGTAAAGCATTGAGATGTGCAGAACGGTCAAAAATTGAACTGTGCCCGGTCCTAGACTCTCGGGACCGTAAGTTTAGTTAAGTTCTTGACGCCTCGGAGACGTCAAAGTCTATAATGGGACGTGGAATGTATGACACCTCATGGGGTTGAAAAAATCAAAGAATCAGGTACTTGAATGATTAAATAAAATTCGTTTCACATGGACGACGCACAACATTAACTAGCTCACCCTTCCCGTTTGAAAGACGCTTCGCAACAGGTCCATAAAGGAACCAGCAGTTGCCACCGTCGGCAGCAGAATCAGGATCAAAAATGGCGACGACGACAACGATAACGACAGGTGCATCTCGTGACCGAGAGAATGAGAGTCGTAGGATTTAAGAATCGTTTTATTCCTTGAGTAAGCTCTCGTCCTTAGATTTTCGTTCTTCTACGTCACTTTCTCGTTCTTTCTTCGGTGGAAGCTGTATCGATCGGTCCGCGAATCCGAATCCACCTTCCTGACGAGAGCTCCCTTCGCGGTTGCTCGTCCTGACTCGTTGTGACATACGGGTTTTGCGACTACAAACTTTATCATACAGTTCCCCTATGCATGAGTCCTCTCGTTCAGTCTGATAGATATTCTGACTTCCCTGTTGCCTGTCCCAATCCTCGACGTTTGCATAAAATAATTTCTCAACGATACTTTTCTCCGATTTCTTGCTTTTTACGTATTCGTCGCCAGAAAACCAGCACAGGAAATTGTATTCGGCGAACGATTAAATGCTGGTGCTAATAATCATTTCTGATGCATACCGCGTACAACTTTCCATTATTGCCGAATGATCAAGTCCACGGACAATGGAATGGCAAATATTTGAATTTCGAATTGAAATCGAAATAGTACAATAACTTTCGCTGACGTTACTGTGAACCACGTTGGTTGTACGATACAGTTTTCAGATTAATAATTTTCTGATTCACATCATTTTTATAATAAGCAGCACAAATGTAAGTTTAATAAGGATAGATTTGTTCTCCAGTACTCGTCCTCTTCGACCATTCACAGGTCAGGAAAAAGGATTAAGGATGTATTGTCAGTTCCAAAAGTTTATGTACNGACAAAAGTTGTAGATCTCGTCGTCCTTTACAAGAAAGGTTCAAAGGTGCAATTTTTCCGTATGTTCAACGGTTTGGGAGTTATTGGTAAAAAACGAAAATTTCGTGAAATCTGAAGGTACCCTTGACAAAATCCCGGAAAAAGTGAAAATATTTTTTCTCAAAATATTGAAAAATGCTTAAAATGAAAGTTTTAAGTACTGCTATTACATCGTTTCAGTATATAGCCTATACATCCTTAAATATTCGTGGCAATTTGAATTTTGCAACACACAATTATTTTTATGTGATTTATAAAAAATGATTATTAATAATTGATGTTTCCTTTTAAATATTCATTGAACAGAGAAACATGTTAACTGTTAAAAATAAATCAGATCTATCTTTACTTACGTATCAACAAAACTATAAGTTACGCGGTCGACTTCTGCAAGGATTGAATTCTGTCTCATTGATATTCACCCAATATCATTCTTCATTTTTATTTTTTTTTTTACACGTTTAATTATTCGTCTGCACCGGTTTTTCACTGTCTAGTATTATCTGATCGATGATCTGATTTTCACGCAACTTCAAATCTTCACTACGAACTAATCATTCGTTTTTTACAGAATAAAACATAACAAGCGTGGCCATATTATATATAGCAAGTAGATCAGTTTTTAGGCACTCGGAAGAGCCTCTACTAGAGTACTAGCGGAAGATTGAACGGAACATGAATGAAGACGACCGAAGAAACACATACGCTGACGCACATCGATGGTCCCCCTCCCCCCGTACTTTCCAGCTGAAAGAAACACCCGAGTTCTTTTGTATTCTTGTACCGTATGTAGTAATCGTACGTGAGTAAGAGTGGCAAAGTTACAGCTTGTCCTGTGCCGATTTGTACTGTTCTTGTATGCACACAGTGATGCTACCGTGCAATCGAACGCGATTCGCGCGAACAAGTTCAAGTCGAGCGACCTTCATTTTCAGGATTCCTCGCATAAGACGAATTTTGTGTTTATTACCGAGTATTTTGCGTTATTAACGAGTATTGTGTTTATTATTTCGTCTTGAAGAGATATTCGATTCTGCGATGGACTCGATGAAATCGACTCATTGTAATTCATTTCAAATATAATTTTGATATCCTGACATCGTTCGTTACATCATATGCTGCATTACATAAAAGTGTAATAGCTACTTGTGGGTTTTCTAAAAAGGATTATGGGTCAAGTTCAACCACCTTTTTTTCCCTATTTCAATATTACGAAAGAACGCACGTCGCGTCGGGTCGTACATAATAACAGAGATTCACTTAATATTGTTGAGAATACACTGTTGAGTTCATTTCCTTTGAGGTGGAATAGCAGTTAGAATACATTATAGTAATACTAGGAGGAGACCGCTTCATATGCAAAAGCTCCAAGAGGCACTCCCCCTTCACAGTTGCTTCTCAAAAGTGTCAGCCCTGGCAGCGACTGTTCTGTCGCGGGGAACTTTATCACTCAGAGAAACTAGTATATTGTGTATCAAGGGCGTAAAGTGGGCTTTTTTAGACCGAGTGTGGAGTTTGCAACCACACGAGGTCAAAACACTACTTAGCCCTTGGAGCACACCATGTTTTTTGTAACGTATGGACATATTTTCGCGGTTTTTCGTTCAGCGGGACTGATGTGACTGCTCTTTGACACGACAACGACGCGCGAAGAATCTAACAAGGGGACTATCAAGGTCTGGGATTACGGATTTTGTTCAAACTTCGTACACTTGTAGTAGTCGACTAGGACAACATATAAGATAAAGGACGTAATACCTGGACACTTTTGAACATTTTTTTATAATGTTTTTTCTTTATCTTAGCAGATAGCTGGGATCTCATAGTCATATTTAAGAAAAAAAAACCTTTTGTAATATATGTAATTACAAATAATTACACCCTCTAAGTATTCCCCTAGTGCTTATATTGTAGAGGCACTCTGTTTAGTTAAGCTTAAGCTGTAAACATCCTTAGAATAAGTTACTATATTATATGTTTATTGTAAAAGGAACGTCTGGAAACCGGAAGTTAACGCTTATTTGAATAACGCGCATGAATGCAGAGATGAAAAGGCTTTTCATCTCTGAAAAGGCTTAATAAGGAAGGAAAAGGATTAATTTATTTCTTAATTATCACAGTACAAGCGAACACGTTTGCTCTGTCCGATCTCCAAGGCAAAGAATAATTTGACAAAGTAACGTCGCGATAAATTCAAAGCAGATAAATTAAAATCGCAGCAGTCGTACCAACTGCGAGGTTGATACCTAGAGCTAGGGACGTTGATGCCTAGAGCTAGGGACCTGTGGTCGAAGAGCCCACAATCCGCATATCCAAGCAAAAGTGGCACATCTAGTGGCAGAATTCAGAACTGCTCGATATTATACCTAAACAAAGGAACCTTAACGTTTTTAGTAACAGTTTGATAAATAAACATTGCATATTACTATAACTAATTTTTCAAATTTGAACTTGCCTCGCAACATTACATGACGTTAGTATAACTTAGAGAGGCAACGATAGTGCCCTCTACCGGGACTTGGATATGCGGATTGTGTCTCTGCTATATATGTATATGCATGTTCATGTTGAATGTTGATCTCAACATAAGATGGCTAATTTTCTTTAGTTTCGTTTACATCCTAATTCCATGGATTTCGGCTTATTAGTAAGCAAATGTGTAAACTCAGTGATCCCGCGGTTCGACACTACCGGTGGTGCTATTGCATGATACAGCTCGTCGAGAACTATATGAACGCGCTATGTCATCCGTTGTTACTGGTCGAAAGTGATCGCATACGCTTAATAATTAAAAGTTTCGGTGATTTCTTTCAAACGAACCCGCGCGACAGAGAGAGACCAACGTTTTAATCCTGTCTTGGTACATGTTTCAACGTGTTTTTCATGTACGCCATCTCATTTTCGAACTTATCTACTTACTGAAAATTGAAACGTAACGATTTCATCCAATTTAGAGCTTGCTCTGCCAACTAACTGCTACTTCTTTTTTTTTTATCACTCATCTACTATTTCCAGGCACAATGGTTGTTGAGAATGGTGAATCTTGCGTCCTAGAATGGACTGGGTATTCGAGATACGTTGCCGAGAAGTTCAGTAGTCTATTAGCGTGCCAAGCACTTGTCGACGTTACACTCGTCTGCAAGGAAGGAAGCTCCGTGCTCACAAGTTATAAAAACCAGAACTAGTTATATTTTTGAAAGATTTATGCTCTGAAATCTTGAAGGCCATGGTTCAATTCATGTATTGTGGAGAAACTAGAATTCCTCATCAGTTATTGTCACCAGTGTTAACTGCCACTAAAAAGACATTCAAGGTTTGTTAGATTCAAACAAATTTTACACATACATAATTACATTCTTATCTGTAATAATAATCAGTTACCATTGTCTTTTATTCACTGTATTCAGGTAAAAGAGCTGACAACCATGGTCGATGCCATGATGACCAGTAGGTTGAACGCAGGAAATCTTAAAGCAATCAAAAACATGGACAAAGAAGTTCTTGAATCGAAGATAACAGATTACATGTATGTAGAATGCAACAAGCTTCTTAAAGATGATAAGTGTTTTTGTAATGAAGATGATGGCGATAGCAACATTAGCAGCAGCAACAGCAATGATGTGAAGTCAAGTGAGAATATTTCGTTAGAATATAATGCGTCGAGCGATCCTGCTAACGAGGAATCAGAACACATGCCTTACGTAGAAGAGTCGCAAGATTCTGAGTCTAACGTAGAGGAAACTAACGCATTATTTTCAATAGCGAATTCAGCTGCGGAAAGAAGCAGAGATTCGAGCCAGTTGGTAGGCCAGAACGTAGGTAGTAAAAATGTACCGACGACGACGACAAACGGGTGCTCGAAAATAAATAACAAGACACCGTGTAACACGAACAATGATGATTCGAAGTCCGTGTTGTACGAACAATGCTGTGATCTTTCAGACGTCGACGAGACGTGTGACGAGAGTTCCGATATGTCACTATCTGCTGAATCTTGTCTTAAACAAATGGAAAGAGATTTTGCACGATACAAGTTCGAAGGTACCGATGTTCCTAGTAGTAAATTAGGAAAATTCGTTAAGGTTTATACGCACAAAAGACGCAAGTCTATAGATGAAATAAAAACTAAACTTACAGATGTGAATGTGAACGTGATTCATAGTCCGCTGTCGACCGATTGCATAGACTTATTAGATGAACCGTCCACTGATACCGATATACCGGTTACACTTTTAACCTCGCTAGATATCGAAAGTGCCGAGTATATCATAAGCTTAAGTACCGAAAATATTCAGTCGATAGTAGGAGCTACTCTGACTCGTGAACCTCGCGAGCCTTGTATGGTAAATACGCATAAGAAACTAAAAATTATTGAAAACGTTACAAACGAAGAAAGTAAGGAGGAAGAGGAGGAGGAGGAGGAGGAGTCGAGGAGAACGACGACAAAGAACACGGAGACTTCGAACTGTACAAAGCCGATATTACGAAGAAGCTCGCGACTAAACCAACAGGAAGTAGAAACAATTGTGAATAACAATGAAACGGATCCTAGTGAGAAATCGAATATTAAGAAATCGAATTCCTCGAACACGAGCACGGAAACGGAATTATGTATTAAGAAGAAACGTAATAAAATAAAAGATGCCGATCGTAAGGTTCCCGAGCAGCAACAGCAGCAGCAGCAGGCGAAGAAACCATTGAACCATCCCCGTAAAAATTCCAAGCTGATCGTTAAGAAGAATAAATGTACAAAAGAAAAGAACGAGCAAGCGATTAGAGAAGAGAATAAATTCAAGTACGATACATCGGAAAACAACTCGATCTTCGTTTCGCCTAAATTAAATACGATAGAGCACATAAGTCGCGCGTTGTGGGGCGACATGTCTGATTTTTCAGAAGACTGTAATATTCATTTCTTGGAATACAATACTCCGAATACAGAGATTCCGTTCGCTGTTGGTTTATTGCCTCTGCGTACTGCTTTGGAAAAGATGCAAGCAACACCGGATTATCAGCCACGCAAAACCCGTTCGTCGGTAGCTATAGCCGCGCCGGTAAGACAGCAGCAGGATATCGTAGGTAGTTTTAAAAAGAGACGATTGAATTCTTACATCGGTGATACAAAAGAAAACGCGAAAGCGGTCTGTCATATTCAAATTAGGACAGCACCGTCGCAGTATGTGCGAAACCGTAAGAAATATCTACCAACAGATATTAACAATACGTTAGAATCACCAATTATTATGAATAAGCATTGAGCAGCTTTTACGAATGCTATTACGATACTGAACACACCCATCTCCTGCTCTATTTAAAAGTGGACGTTAACGTTAAGATGATAGATATAAAAATAGTTTTGTTTATTACATTTTTACATTTATATAGATAAACAGCTGAATTTAGTACTTCATAACACTACTACTTACCCAGCCGTTCGATCGCAGTGTCACATGCATGGAATAAAGTTCTAACTTTTTCGTGTTTTTTTCGTTCACTGCAAGTGTATACGTACACCGACATCGATCATCCGTTCGCTGCACATAAATCGATTTCTGTGTGTGTGTAGACTAGAAAACTTTATTCTTCTTCTAGAATCATATATAGTTCATTTTTCTTCAAGAGTGGTTCGTTGATACAGGCTGATCCTCATACTCCCATCATTTAAAAGAACTAAAGGTGGTGCGATCTTCGTGTTCACTCGATAGAAAAGCAAAATAATAATAGAACGATTATTTACGTGCCCCACGAATTTGTCCAAACGAATGTCCATGATAAACTAAATTGTATATTTGTAATTTCACTTGTTCATGCTTATTGCATTCTATAACACATATGTATTTGTATAAGAAATATTTTACGCTAGTTTAATTTAGTATAGCGGCGGACAAGCGAAGAAAGAGAAACTGAAATTGATAATAACTCAGTGTAACGATTTGCACACTACAGAAGCAGTAACTGTTAAACTTTCAGCGGACTTTTAAACGTTTCTTAAGAATAATGAAACATATATTCTCTATACATGAGTCGAACTCAATGATATTTACATTCACCAGTACGATATTCGTTCCGTTTTACAGTATTTACTAACTACCGCAGTAAACAGTTGCTGCTATACGTATATACAATAATATAAATAGATTGCCCATTGCAATAATATACAAATATTTTTTACATAAATTTATGTATACATACATATTTATATAAATTGATAAATATATATTTTTTCCTACTAAACATTTACCATGTATATATACATATATGCATATAGAAGTTGTACGTGGCATCTACGACGACATTTCTATACTATCGATGAATCGTTAGGCTGCGGATTTTTCTGTGAAATAAAACATTTAAAAAATGAAATCTAGATCGAGATTCCTTCTGGGCTTCATAAATCTTGATTTCCTGAACGTATAATGTAAGTACAGTAAGTGAAGTACGCGTTATCATTTTATACTATACTAGAATACTATACGTATGTACATGGTACATGCTCCGTGCTATGTAATAAAATAATTTACAAAAATTCAAACTTCAAACAAAATGGTTCGGCAGATAAGGAGGCGAATGAATAATTTAAAGAATATAATCAGCACTGCATGTTAAACCAAATGACTGTCCTAATCAGGTTGAAACAACGTTAAACGGAAACTTGTTTAATGTTTTGTAAGCTATAAACTTTGTAGAATGTTCAAAATATCGCAGACTTTATTCCTCAAATACAACTTGTACGCTGTTGCACGTTCGGACGCTCGCAAAGAACTATGCCTGCTTTAACTCGTCGCTTTCCCAACGTCCTTTTTAAGGGGTTGAAAATACGTTGTGGCCTTATCGGCCTCGGTCATCTGGTTTCTATCAGGCAGGCCTCTTCCTACGCGGTTGAACTCTCGACTTCGTTTACAGTTTTGACGATCATGTGGTATATCATAACTCGTAAGATGTGCAAAATTTAAACAAATGGTTTGAACTTAAAGCGTCCCTTCTCCCCGTCGACACGTAACAACAGACACAGAGACAGGGACAGAAATAGGAACTAGGAAGAGGAAGCCGGCAAGCATATATATATCTACGGCTACATATATATGTAGGCGAGAACGTTACAAGTATAACGCGTCTACTTCCGATTTTCCGGACAATGGAATTTATAAAATGGAGATCGAGGTACGGAGAAGTGCGAATGAGTAGGACGGACGGACGTATGTTCGACGTACGTTTGGTGCCACGGAGAAGACAAACCCTCGACGACGAGGCCGATACAGCGCAGCTACAGTACAATCAATGAGCGCATATTGATCTCGACCCTTCACAGATTCTACGCACCTGCAGGGGCGGACCACTCTCGAGCATCGAACGTATACATATGTAGATAACGTTGCTCGGTTAAGATAAGAACAATCTATTCAAATGCGTATTGCGTACATGTACTACATGACATACATGCATCATACATATATTGTACTTGTTGAAAATTATCTTTCTCTCGAATTCATCACATAGTATACACA